GCTCTTGGGCAAAACTTGGAGAAGCGACGACGCAGCTGGTCTCTTGGCAAGCATGTCGTTGTCTTGCAACTAGAAAGGAAACATTGGTTTGGTTCCAACTTCCTTGTGGAAAAAATCTGTAGAAATGCAGAGGGACATGTTGGCTGGCTGGCACCTCGCTGTACATTTGGGCAAAGTCCAAGACATGTTGAAAGGTGGTTCAGGACAGTTTTTCCCCACCTGCCAGGTGAGGGTTGTTAGATTTTATCAGAGCTGTTCTCCTCCTCCTCCGCCTCCTCCTCCATCTCCTCCTCGTCCTCCTCCTCGCAGTCCAGATCCCAGTGGGCACCGCCGGACCTCCACCGCGAGCTCCAGATCCCAGTGGGCACTGCCGGACCTCAACCGCGACTTCCCAACCGCGACTTCCAGGTCGCAGTGGGCACTGCCGGACCTCAACCGCGACTTCCAGATAGCAGTGGGCACTGCCGGACCTCAACCGCGACTTCCAGATCGCAGTGGGCACTGCCGGACCTCAACCGCGAGCTCCAGATCCCAGTGTGCACTGCCGGACCTCAACGGCCAGATAGAATGCCAGAAGATATGCCAGATAGAATGCCAGAAGGAGAAGATATGTCAGATAGAATGCCAGAAGATATGCCAGATAGAATGCCAGAAGATTTGCCAGATAGAATGCCAGAAGATATGCCAGAAGATATGCCAGAAGATATGCCAGAACATATGCCAGATAGAATGCCAGAAGATATGCCAGAAGATATGCCAGAACATATGCCAGAAGATATGCCAGATAGAATGCCAGATAGAGTGCCAGAAGATATGTCAGATAGAATGCCAGAAGATTTGCCAGTAAGAAAATGTATAAATGCCATGGTGGGGATCATTCGAAGTGAAGTAATTTTGCTAATTGATTGAAGTGCTGTGATGGGAAGATGGTGGTTCCTTTTTGACAAGAGTATTGCAGACAATGAAGGAACAGCAATGAAACATACCGAATACTGCTACCGCTGGTGAACCAGTGCTACATCCATATGCACATTGACTCAGGCCAACTCGGTTGGGAGGAGTTCTCCTGCCTGAGCCCTTGTCCATTTGTTGCTGCTCTCCAGTATTTGGTCTCCTTAATTCACCCCTTGAAGCGGCTCGTAGTCCCACCACTTTCAGGGCCATTTATGTTTGGCGTTGTGGAGAACGAGTCTGGCAGTGGCGTTCATCAGAGGCTGGGTGAGACCGGCAGGATCTTACGTGCAGTGAAAGGTTTGTTGGCAACTGAGGATAAGAAAAACATAAGGTGGGGTTGTTTTTTTCCAAACATACCTTGTACTTGGGTGCAAACTCTCCAATACAGAAAGTATGCAACAAAATTATGTAATGAATCTGCCCTTTGGTTTCTCTGCCGCTGCATGATTTGCCAATCGCAGTACTACAGTGTTTTTCTTTCGTTGCCAGTTGATAATTGTCCGCACCTTCCTTTCCAGTTAGTGAAGGCGTTATACATGGCCGATGCTTTGTCTTGGCCAAACTCCGTCAAGACTCGCCACCAGTTGGGAACCGTTGGGGTCCCAGTGGCCGGAAGTTGCCAGATGATCCCTCCAGTGGGACATGCTTCGCTTTTCTGTTTTTTTGCTGGATCGGCATGATCAGTAATGAAAAGCATCATGTTCCGCATCCTGTTTTCATCACTTTATTGTATGGAAAATTGGTGCAGGTCCCCCCGAATCTGTGCAGAGAACTTTTCATCACTGTGGTGCAGGTCTTTCATCAGCAGGGAAGGTATGATGAGGCTTTGCGAGAGTGGAGACCTGAGTGGAAGCTTTTCCATTTTATGGTTGAATCTGCAGCCTGCCGGTGGCTGTCCATCATGATTTGTTTCCCATGAAACAGACATGACATATATATATCTATATTATATATATTAAATATAATATATATTATATATATATTATAGTATATTATATATTATAT